TTCACATTTGATGGTATTTTTGTATTTATAACATTTTTTTCTATTTATATTTTTTAATATGCTAATAAATTATTGTTGCATTATTTTAGTGTTATGTGTTTTTTTTTCTTATTTTATTTAATTGAAAATTGGTATCCTTAAAAAAATGGCATTGCTTCAAATAGAATTGTAAAAAATGAATGCGAGCGATCAGACATAATAGAAGATATTTTTATTGCTGATACGGACATTGAATAGACCAGAATTATATTTCTGTTTAAACTTGCTGTGGACATACAATTGTTCATGATTAAAAACGTACATTAAACTTGGATAAAATATTAAATTCTTTTTAAATTATTACATTTTTTTATTGCATATTAACCATAAAATATGTAACCAAATACATCCATCAATATTTTACAAATACTTTAAATAATGTGGAATGTTGAGTTGCTCAGACAGCAGACTATTTGCAACCCTTCTCTGTAACAACCAGTCAAGATGAGAAGAAGAAATCGTGCTCATTCTGCATCTGTGCGCGGAACATAGCATTAGCCTTCGCCACTTTCTCAGGTGTGATGAGATACTTATTCAGCAGAGCTCTGTAGTGTTTCTCAGGATGGCCGCCCATATTCTCCACCTTCCAAGTGTAATAGGCATTGGTTGGAGGAGTGTTGAGATTTTCAGCCAGCCAAACCCAGAGTCTAGCGCAGGGCAGAAGACCCACGGCAAAGTACAGCGGCTCTTCATTGTCCATCAGGTTTCTGTAGACCGCCAGATACTTCCTCATAGCTGGAGTTTGCTGAATGAGAGGCTCACCCTGTGGAGTATAAAACATTTTCAGTCAATTCAGAAGCAATATGAAATGTTTAAAGTCTTTGTTTTTCTATTCTTACCTTGAAAAAATACTGTTTGAGCATAAAGTCTGCAAAACTTTTGTAGCTCAAATATCTGCCTTTCATGAAGTCCCTGATGTCATTGGGCTGAGCTATTTTGGCACTCATTCTCTTCAACATCTTGGTGACTTTCAGGAGGTAGCCGATGTCTTGGATGGTGAAGTTGACGTATCGCTCCGCCTGCAGGCTGCCGTTCTCCATTTGCCTCAGGAAGTCCAACCCGATTGTCTTATTAGCGATGTCTTTATTCTTCTCCCACAGATATTCATACACATCATCCACTGCCAGACTGTAACTACGACAGAAAACATGTGAACTATAATACATCCATATCTCAGATATGCACAAATCGTCACCGAAGAGAAGCAGAACAACTGTTCATTACAACTTTGCACATATTTAGAGCTCATAAAATGTTGAAAAACCTCTGGTATCATGAAAATGGTTCATTAGGACTCACCTGAAACCTAAGAAACAGAGACACAGGAGGGTCGAGGTCTTCATGTTTCTTGGATCTTGTAGTGAACTCGTCTTCTGCTCTTATCTGTAATCCTGACTGTTACATCTTCAGTGAGCCAGTCCTTTTATAGTGGCAGTTTATTAGCTGATGCAGAATTGTGGCAATGGATGATGATGATAACGTCAGTATCTGATTGCACGTCAATTCCCCATTAGTGAAACACTTTTTTGCTCATTCTGAATTTTGCAAGCTTGCTTATCATCCCTGTTGAGTTCCTATCTATCTATCTATCTATCTGTCTGTCTGTCTGTCTGTCTGTCCGTCCGTCCGTCCGTCCGTCTTCCATTGTTTAGTATTTCTGAACAATACAATTTTAAATACTAAAATGCTTTTAAATAATATTTAATTAAAACTTTTTCATTTATCTCATTATTTCAACAGGTTTAAATTCAACAATATAAATGTCACAGACCTTTTTTTTTAAAAATACAATAACAGGAAATACTTAGTTCGTTATTTACAGTTAATATACAGTTTTCCTGCTTTCTTTTAAGATTTAATGTGATATTATGCAGCAAGTTTTATTCTGAAATTTAGAAAATTTCATATGACATTTCATGGTGTTTTTTTTTGTTTGTTTGTTTTGTTTTTAACAAATTTGAAATAATGTTTTCATGAAGAATGGTAAATGTTTTATCAATTATCTTTAAAAAAAATCAAATGTTAAATACTAAATATATTTCATTCTTATTTAAGACTGCTTTTTCGTTTAACTTGTTTTTATGTCTGTGATGTTTGTAATTCATGTTTTCCCTCACGTAAAACTTACATGTCTTATAATATCTCATCACTAAAAAAAATGCTGGGTTGTTTCAACCCAACTTTGGATCAAATATGGACTAACCCAACCGTTGAGTTACATTTTTAAATGAAATTTTTAACCCAAAAGTTTGGTTGGTCCATATTTGACCCAAAGTTGGGTTGAAACAACCCAGCATTTTTTAGTGATTTGTGGGTTTCTGACATAAACTGAAAGTGTGAGTGACCTCACATTCACCAGTTCCAGTTACAGGGATGTTGGTAATCAGCTTTTGTAAGACATGACTGAATGAGTTCTTCTTTCTTTGTCTTTCTTCTTCCTCTTCTTTTTCTATGAATTCCTATATTAAGCAATGCTTAGTACATCAACAAAAATGCTCTTTTTATCAATCAGTGGTATCAGTGTGTAATTGTGAATATGTTTTTTGCTGTTTGTGGTCTTTGTCACAAGTACAATGTCAATAATAAAATAACAGTATATCAGTTGCAAAGTTAACTTTTCATTGCATGCATCTGTTTAAATTTCAGTTACTGTATTCTCAAATTATGAAGGAAGTGGCCAAACCATTTTTAATGACAATATGCTTATTAATTGTAAATATGTCAGTAAGACATTATTATATACTTGATATACATGAGTCAATACATAGTATACAAGACTTGGATTCAAGAAGTTTGGATTTTTAATGTTTTTTTTTATTTTTTTTAAAGAAGTCTCTTCTGCTCAAGGCTGCATTTGTTTGATCAAAATGTAGTTAAAACAGTAATATTGTGAAATATTATTACAATTTAAAATAACATTTTTCAATTTTAATATACTTTAAAATATAATTGTATTCCTGTGGTGGCTAAGCAAAGCTGAATTTTCATCAGTCATTACTCCAATCTTCAGTGTCACATGATTCTTCAGAAATCATAATATGATGATTTATTGTCAGTGTTGGAAACCGTTGTGCTACTTATTTATTTGTGTTTTTATTTATTAAATTTTTTGGAACCTGTTTTATTTTTTTCAATATTTTTTGATGAATAAAAAGTATAAAAGAACAGCATATATTCAAATCTTATAACAATGTAAGTCTGTACTATCCCTTTTTACCCATCTATATCCTTGCTGAATAAAAGTACTTACACCAAACCTTTGAACGGTAGTGCAGTTTTTTATTACAAAAGATTTTTACAAATATTGTTAAAAAAACATATATATACACTCTTAAAAATAAAGGTGCTTCACGATGCCATAGAAGAACCTTTTTGTCTAAATGGTTCCATAAAGAACCTTTAACATCTGAAGAACCTTTCTGTTTCACAAAAGGTTCTTTGTGGCGAAAGAAGGTTCTTCAGATTATAAAAACGCAAGAAAGAGATGGTTCTTTAAAGAACCTTTGACTGAATGGTTCTTTGTGGAACCAAAAATGGTTCTTCTATGGCATCGCTTGAAGAACCTTTTGAAGCACCTTTACTTTTAAGAGTGTTTATTGCCAAGATATAGGCCTTGTGGAAATTTTGTTTCATATATACTGCATATGAATCATAGTTTCATGACAACTATTGGAGTGATTATGAAATGACCTGTTGAGCATTTTAGGGGAGACCACTAGTTTTCACAAAAGTGAAATTCCACAAAGCCTATATAGCAACTATATGGTATGAGTCAGAAGTTCAATTACACAATTGAACACCATCCTCTAGAAGCATTTCCCCAACTTTCCCCATATACATATCATGTAACATCATTCAATGATAGAAAAGATTAACCGCATTTATGAACTTACTGATGTAAAAATGACATTTACTGACGTAAAATGGTGTGACAACTTAGCAACTTAATAATCTGAACTATTGAAAGCTATTATAATGTTACCCAAATCTGTCAGGACAGAGGAAATACAGTCTGTTAGAAGAGATGCAAAATTGATTAATAACTGGTTTCATTAACAATACATCCAAAATTCGAACTTTTAAATCTTAATTACAATAACTAAATTCATTTTAAAAATCTTTAAAAGAAAGTTGTAATAAGAACCATTAGGGTTCTACCGCTGCCTTTTCAAGTTCATGAAGTTCAACCACTTTTCTCTAGGACTACACTGTAAAAACAAAAATATTTTGGCAGCTGTAAAAAATACAGAAAAACTGTAAACACATTTACGGCCAAAAACTGTAAACTTTACAGTATAAAACTGTAATTTACAAACAAGAAAATTTGAATGTAAACCAGTAAATTCAACAATGCACACTGCTATTAAAATCTGTTTTGTACCTTGAACATACTGACAACCACCATAATAATGCAGCTGGTAAAAGAGAAAGCCACATGAAGAATCAAAGCTCATCACAAGTAGCTTCGCCACAAGCAGAAGTATATACTAATATATAGAAGGTGCACAGAGTCATTCATGCAAACACAAAACGATACATAAATAATGCATTAAACTTTCATTAAACAACAGAAGATGTAACATAAAGCCCAAATATACATAACTAATAACAAAAACTTAAAAAAAAAACATGATTATTTAAACAAAATGCTTTCAAATGTGCAGGGAGTTCTGGGAATATCATATATACATTGATTTGTTATTTTTACTTCTAAAAACTGTCAAATTAACAGCATTTTACTGTAAAATGCCTGGTTATATATTTTACAGTTTTCCCCTGTATATAGTACGGGAACTTACTGTTAAACCTATTAACAGTTTTTTCCCGTAGCGTTTTTACAAATATTTACAGTTAAAATTACACTTATTTTTTACAGTGTAGGTCGCAACCGCGACGCCACAACACCTTAGAGAGCACGTGCGTCATAGCGGCCGCTGGACAGCAGGCGGCGCTGTTTGTCGAGTTTCAGTTGAGTGCGATGTTCAAATAACTGCACAAGAAGGCTTTCCTCTTCCTCCGATGTCAAGGCGGAGGCGTCAGTAGAAGGGTATCAGCTGCACCCCTCCCGGACCCGAGCACCGTCACCAAACGCTCGCCATAGTGACCCGTTCGACTGAGGATACCAGCGCGAGTTTGACCGTTGATCGTCAGAAAAGGCGGCTTGTGTTTGTGTGTGTTGGCGGAGAGTGGAAAGACGGCATCCGGCCTCCGAGAAGCAGGCGAGGGCAGGGACTCGCGTCCAAACAACGTTTACCGTCTCTGGTGAGTCTTGCGTTGCGTTTCTTGAAACGATCCATTGAAGCGGAAGGTAACTTAGACGCGACGCTCATGCTATGCTTAGCAAACAAAACTGCCAGGTTTGAGGAGTGTTTGGGTCGAGTAATCTGATTAAATGTGGTTTAATCGACGGTTGGTTTGCCAGCATGAACTATATGTCGTGTTTAAATGCTGTGGTGTTGGTTTAACTATAAAAGGAAAGCAAAACCGTTGCTTTGAAGTGTTTATTTAAGCTTGGACTAGTACCGAATTCCACCACCTAACGTTACCTGGTTGAATTGCAATCCTGACAGGCTTAGTCGATTTGTTTTTGTAGTTTTGTTTGACCCCTGTCTTTCCATAAATCGAGTCCATAATGCTGAAATTCTGTTGTTGTTTTGAATAAACATTTATAAAAAGCTGTTCGGTTGAACCAGTTGTTATGCATATCCAAGTACTGCAAAGAATGATAACCCATTTAATCATCTAAAATGCATGTTATTCCCTGGAAAAGTTTCCAAAAGTTAGTTGAAGTACTTATGTTTTCCAGTGTAAATCGTTTATACGATACACACACACACATGCTGTACATGCGTGTATGGATCTGTGCATCATCCAGAAATAATAAATGCACATTTTAAAAAACATTTTAATGTAACAATACTGCTTAAAACAAGCAGTTTTACAATGAGAATCAGTTACTTGTACATAATTGTAATAAGTGTGATCAAAGACATGCTTATTTGTGATCCTGTTTTATGAGACAGAGATTTCGTAATAATGAATAACAAACCTTTAAATATTGCATCCGTATTATGACATGAAAGTGTTCCCATAAAATGAAGACCGTATGCATTTATAGTTGACAGCTTGTGCGCTTTCATACCCTGTAAACGGCAATCTTTTTTAGATTATCAATCACTGTTTTTAAATGGGTTAATAGACAAACCCCTGCGAAACCACTGATTCACACCTCATCCACACATCCTTCAGTCAAACCACAGGGGACTTAGTAATGCTGGGAAATGTGTTGATGGGTTTAATGAATCGTGAATCGTGAACGTGGACGAATGTATCTCCGCCCTCCAGCAGAGCAAAGGGGGTTGCATTAAAATACGTGACTGTGGAGCCAACTTCTTATGCCCTCCGTTATGGCTGAGCTATTTGAGAGTCGAGCAAATGCGGTGAATGAAAATGTGCATCATGCATTGAATTCCGCAAATGAGCACACATGTATGCATGGATATGAATGCATGTGCCCTCTTTGGATGCGATCATGGGCTGTTGGCCAATTTTGGGGTTTGCCATTCCAGGGATGATGCCTATTTATCAATCAGGGGCTCTTGAGATGGAAATGAGGGTGCGTTCCACAGCCTGGCATGCAGCTGTTGCATGGATGACCCAAATGGGCACTGTGGCTTGGCTGTTCTCAGTCTGGGCGGCTGCATGTAATGTGACCGAATGTTGAGTGTATGAGATATAGGCACACTGTAGTTTCTGCGTGTGCTCTAGTTGAGCGTTTGATGATGATAGTCAATTTAACATGAGGACAATGGGTCCATGCCTCTCCCAGATGAAGCTCATGATACAGTTTCACGTCGTGTTAGTGTGTTGAGACAGAGGAGCAGGGTTACATGGCCTTTTGTCGCTTCTGGGCCCTTTGTTACTTGGCCATGTTTATTGTGGTGGTGGATCATGCTGATTATGCATTGCCCATAAAAGGCATCACCAAAAAAAAGGGTCTTTCATTTTTATTCTCGCTCTTGCTTTCTCACCCACGCACACTTTGCGCTTTTATTTTTGTCGTCTTAATAAACCATTCGTACGCATAATTCATCCCCCCTCTAGCTTTTTCAGGGTATGTGGTTGTGTAATGTGCTGTCTGATAGCGTGAAGTGTAAACGTCTTTTTTTACGGTTGAGATGCTTTGTTGGTTGGTCGGTAATTGGGTGTTTTGGAATCTTCAAAACATGTTGAAAAAGATCCAGGCTCAGGAAATCTAGAATTGAAGTGGTACAATCCATCAAACTGGAGACTGTTGCTAGTAAACTACTGCTCTAGTGAACCAGATTTCTACTTTTTTTTGTTTAGAAAAGTGAGTCTTTGCTTGTGCAAAACCAGTCACCATGTTGCTAGAGTGTGCTTGGATGTTGCTAGGGTGTTCCTTTATGGTTGCTAAGGCGTTCTAAGTGTTGGTTATGGTAAAAGCGTGCAAAACCTGTACAAAACCTGTAGGGCTGCACGATTTGGGAACAATTTCATATTGCGATTATTGAGGTCAATATTGCGTTATGCAGTTGCGATATAATAAATGGTACCATGAGTCAACTTGATTGGTTATCAAGGAAAATGCACACACAGATTAGTGATAATGCTGAAATGTGTATTTGTAAAACTAGAAAATGTTTTCAAAATAAATATTTTTTTACAAAATGAAATAACATTTGCATGTAAACTTATTTTCTCAAAAGTATAGCTAAAGTAAATAAAACAATAAATGAAAAAATGCACATTTTCACAAAAATAAGATATTTTAAACATTTTGTGCAAACAAACAAGGACATTTATGCAGGATGTAACATATACTCTGTATAAACTCTTTTGAAAAGGAAACTGGATATAAAATTGAGGTTCACTCAAACTACTAAATCTTTTTTTTTTTATTTGTGATCCTGTTTTATGAGACAGAGATTTCGTAATAATGAATAACAAACCTTTAAATATTGCATCCGTATTATGACATGAAAGTGTTCCCATAAAATGAAGACCGTATGCATTTATAGTTGACAGCTTGTGCGCTTTCATACCCTGTAAACGGCAATCTTTTTTAGATTATCAATCACTGTTTTTAAATGGGTTAATAGACAAACCCCTGCGAAACCACTGATTCACACCTCATCCACACATCCTTCAGTCAAACCACAGGGGACTTAGTAATGCTGGGAAATGTGTTGATGGGTTTAATGAATCGTGAATCGTGAACGTGGACGAATGTATCTCCGCCCTCCAGCAGAGCAAAGGGGGTTGCATTAAAATACAAACAATAAATGAAAAAATGCACATTTTCACAAAAATAAGATATTTTAAACATTTTGTGCAAACAAACAAGGACATTTATGCAGGATGTAACATATACTCTGTATAAACTCTTTTGAAAAGGAAACTGGATATAAAATTGAGGTTCACTCAAACTACTAAATCTTTTTTTTTTTTTTTATGACCAACTGGTACTCCCAAATCCTCTTTCTGAATAGTTCTACTTATCATATCAGTGGTTGTTTGCCAAAAAAGACCCCAAGCATATCCACTTTCTCTGGTTTCAGACAGGAGCGATGATTCGATACAACATTATCACTAGTGCTAAAAGCTCTCTCTGATGATTTGTAAAACTAGAAAATGTTTTCAAAATAAATATTTTTTTACAAAATGAAATAACATTTGCATGTAAACTTATTTTCTCAAAAGTATAGCTAAAGTAAATAAAACAATAAATGAAAAAATGCACATTTTCACAAAAATAAGATATTTTAAACATTTTGTGCAAACAAACAAGGACATTTATGCAGGATGTAACATATACTTTTGTATAAACTCTTTTGAAAAGGAAACTGGATATAAAATTGTTCTCCGGTTTCAGAAACGAGCGATGATTCGACACAACATTAACACTAGTGCTAAAAGCTCTCTCTGATGCAGAGCTTGTTGCTTGTATGCCCAGATATTTTTGTGCTAGTCTGTATAGCCTAGGGAAGTTTACTTTGTGGAACTACCACCATTTCAGTGGATCTTCTCTATGGTCTACACATGGCATGTAAATGGTAAGCATTGAGTTCAGCGGCCACTGCTTCTCTAAACTGTGCCATGGGATCAAATGTGGTTGACAATGAAGCTTTTGGTGCTGTACATGCGGTTTCCTTGAAGAAACTGGCCAGAGTTTTCTTCTTGGCTTTAGCAGCGGGTGGACTTACCACATCCAGGCTATCATTCTCCATCGCTGCAGTGCTTTGGGCTACAGTCTGCTGCTGGTGATTTTTCTGAAACAAATAAAAAAATGCAAGTTTTAGTAATTTGTTACATGGAATTCTTACCAGTTAAGTAAACTCTGTGGTTTCACTCACTATCAACTCAGAGATGACTTGTTCCTTTAAGGTCTGGGTCAATTCTGCAGAGATGTATTGTGTTCGGAACCTTGGGTCTAGGAAAGTGGTCAAGTTAAGCAAGTCCTGCGTGCCTTCATGTTTGTTGTTGAGGTAGCTAAGAATTTTTGATTTCAGTGAGTCCGCTTCGTCTTCAGCCAGCACTGAGGTGTTCAGAAGATAAGGCATCCGTGAAGTCCTGGAGTGGGCTTAGTGCCTGGTTTACAGATTCCAAGACCTCCAGGTCCTGCCATGAAGGAAGTAGGTGTCGCACTTTGCGGTCTGTAGAGAAAACCTTGGACAACCCACTTTGCTGCTCCAGGACTCTTGCTATCATTTTCTGAGTGGAACCCCATAGTGTTGAGCAGTCTGTCACCATGGCATGCTCTGGGAGGTTGAGCTCTCGTTGTGCTCCCTCAAGGCCACTCTTTTCTTCCAACTATGGGAGTAGTGGCCCACAATCTTCATGCATATCCCAGTAGCCCTGTTAATGCATTGTGCATTATCTTTCAGAGCATTTTTGTGAATGATAAGAGGGTGGAAAAATGACAAAACATTTACTTACTACAGTGACATTGCAAAACATTTAATATTCACATTCTGATTGCATACAATGATTATATACTCACAACCCGAGTTATAAAGCTTAGGGATCGCTACTTGAGAGAAATAGTTATACGAGGGCAGCTGGTACCTCTTGTCCAGTGTGTGGATCATTTTCTGAAATCCCACTTAATGGTGTGTATGAGCATCACATCTTTTGCCAAGCAGTGCGTTATGGAGTCTGTGATTTTCTTTATACCTAGGTGAAGACTTATCATTTGGCGTGAGACTTGCAAACACATCTGTAATTATTTTGTTTTGTTCGGG